CTCTGTAAGGGTTTTTTTTTTTTTTTTTTTTTTTGGAACCAGAGATTGAACTCAGGCGCTTATGCTTGCCAGGGAAGCGCTTATTCCACTGAGCCATCTCCCCGGCCCCTAAAGTTCATTTTTCTTACTATATCAGTTATGATTAAAGATAATAATCCTCATATCTTTCCTATATAGAATTATATGATTAAACTTTCATTCAGTGGATCCTATATAGGTTCTGACATAATTTACTTTTAATCAAAGGGAGGAAAACAAATTATGCTAAAAATAATTCATGGAAAATTCCATGTTATAATTTATACTTCACCAATGTTTATTTAGTATCAAAGTAAATGCCACAAATATGAAAATTATGAAGATGTAGTTACTTCTCCCATTTCCTTCAGAGAGTAGTATGGATTAGTAGTTCCAGCAGTCTGTCTCTGAATCTAGCATCATGTTCATGACAAAAGACAGTTGGTCTCTGGTCTTAGAAATGCTAAGGCAGTTACATTTCATAGACATAGGACTCTTTGGATGGGGAACTTGCTGAAATATTTTTAGTGGTTTCTTCTAATGCCATTGCCTGTATTCCATTTCCTCTGTTCTGTTTTGAGATCAGACCCCCACTTATTGCATGACAGGATGGCTCTTTCAAATCTCCAGAAGCCTACCCATTTTCTTCCACTAGTATTGTCACCAACAAATCCCTTTACTGTCTAATCCCATTTGGAAGTAGCTTTTCAAAGGGTTCTTACTGATTGTATACTTCTGTAATATATTTTTGAAAACAAAGTGGTAACTTCAGTCTTCTGATTTGAGTAATGAATTTTACATGATTTTCTCAGACTTTTTAGAAGTTCTTTGTGTTTCTAAACAAATATTACATGCCTATTGCCATGACTAGCCATATGATCAGAAGTTAGACCAAAAGTGCATTCATCTGAGCCTCTTAATAGCAGAAAATGTTTGTCTGGTATATATAGGAACTCAATAAATAGTTTTCAATGCATTCCCCCACTGTGTGTGGATGTACTCATTAGGAGATAAACATCTTTCAAGACATAATATATGAGATATGCAATATATTTTAATTTCCTTCTAAAGCTCTTCTTTTCTGCCCAATAAAATTTTAAGTAATTATATGAAATGGAAAAAATATTGGAGACAGTTAAAATTGTTAGATATATTCAATAACTGTGTCTTATTCACATAGGAAAACAAAATGCCAGAATTCATGCTACAGAAAAATTTTACTTAAATATATGAGGGAAAGGGGCATAATGAAAGAATTCCTGAATGACAGGAACAGAAGTGATTTTAATCACTGGCATAAGAATTAAATTCTAACTATTGGCCTAATGAAAGAATAAAATTCCATCAGGTGCAGAGCTGAGCATGAGAATAGGGTGTACTCAGTAAGCCGATCCAAAAAATCAAGAGCCAAAAGCTGATTTTGGAAAATCAGTTCACTGGAAACTTCTGGTAGAAAAGTAAGTTGGGTGGTAGAAGCTGGATCTGTATCCCAGAGACTGAAAGCCAGTGCCTTGTTGACCAGAAGACCCAAAGACAATGTTGCCGTATCCAAGAGATCCAATGAAGTTTGTCTGGTGAGGACTGGAGATGAAATTATTTGGGTGGCAAAAAGGTGTTTCGAAGGATCTGGTCCCAGTGAAGGATGTCTGCCTATTGATGGGCTCACAAAAGCTTTCTAGTTGTCCACCATAAATAGAGGAGCCCAGCTGGTAGGTCTTGGGAGGGATGATTACATTGCTAGGGTAGACGGAATGATAGGTAGAAACTGAAGGTTTCAGGAAGCCTCCAAGAGATCGGGGAGAGAAATTTCCAGAGCTGAAGTTGTAAGACATGCTGTTAAGAACCTGAATTCAGCTGGGGTACAGGAAGGACTATAGGAGTATGACTGACTTCATCTAGGCTGGGTATTTATATACCTAAGAAATGGGTGTAATCACATCTGGCCATCATAATGAGAATATTTAATTAGGCTTCAGTAAAAATAAAATACAGTAACCTTCAAAGACCTCTTTTTATGAATGCAGACATTTAAATGAAAGAATTTCATCAGTTTTTCAAAGCAAATATTCATAGAAAAAAATGTCTCTCAATCACCTACCTTGGGTGGAATGAAAACTACCACAATTGTATCTGTATGACTGAGGTTTAATTCACTGTCATTAGATCAAATGGATAACACTTTGAGAGCTCTGCTGGGTTTAAAGCTCTAACATATATTTTGAAGGAGACAATTACATTATGCTAAGTTTAGGAACCCAGCGGAGCACAGAAAATAAATTCTCATTTTATTTTTCCTCTCCCAAATCTTGTGCATTTTATCAAAGTAATCGAGATGTTAATCAAGAGAAATACTAAATGAGTATGGAGTAAGCTTGGGCTTAGCTTTCTTGTAAAACAAACAGTCAAATTACTTGTGGGTGTGTATTTAAGAATGAATGACCCCAAGTTTGAGGGTAGCATTGTTATTCATTCCTTTGAACTACAGCTCCTTTCTTCTTGTTCTGTTCCTATGATAGTGAACCTGGGGCCCTGTGCATGCTGAAGAATTGCCTGGCCCCAGAGCTCCATCTCCTACTCCTAGTTTCTTGATGAAAGTAATCATTACACACAACAAATATGTACCGATAAAAGTATAAAATAAGGGCTGACCAGATAGCTCAATAGACTAAAACACCTGTTTAGGCAGAGTGCATTGGCCGGGGTGCGATCCCCAGTGTGCTGTGCAGCCCCCCCGCCCCCCGGGACAGCAATTGAGATGGCATAGTGGCACGTGCCTATAATGCCAGTCCTTGGGAGGCTAGAAAGAGCAGAATCACCATGAGTCCAATCTACATGGTGAGACCCTGTAGACCCTGTACTAAATAAAAATAAATAAATAAATACTTCAAATCTGATTCTCTAAAAATGTCATCAATAAATTCAATAAACTTGGTTAGCAAGTACTCTAAATACTCAAGAAATATTATTAGTCTGTTCTTGTTGATGTTATTGAGGATAAAAAAAATATGCACTATCGAGAAAGCATGGAAGAATCAAGGATCTGAAGATTGCAAATGACATAGATTAAAATATGAATGAGAAAGGGGATCAAAACAGATGGCAGGCAGGCACTTACACTGCTGAGCTATCTAAGGATTAAACAACAGAGAAGAGAGAAAGGAGAACATATAGGAAAAATACGCAAGTATATATACAGGATGGCTGAGGTGGTGGTACTAAGACTTTCCATCAGTTTTCTGGAGATAGCAGCTAATATGTAGAATTTTCACTTTGACTAACTCTGTATGCTGGTATCTGGGAACTAAACAGCTACATCAAGGACAGCAATATGTAATACAAAAACCATGCTTAAGTACCTGTCATCTTGGTGTTCTAAATCTGTACCATTTCTAATGTCATATCAATTATTACTATACTCTTTAATATAATTTTTATAAAAGGTAATAAAAGAAAGAAAAGAGATGAGAGTAAAACTTTAAGATTTCTTGAAAGCAATATGCCAAATCTTACATAACTATATGTTATTCTGAGCAACAGATTTGATGATAAAAATAGATAATATATCAACTTTTTAATGTATTTAGTACAGAGCCTCAGGGTCTCACTACACAGATAAGACTAGTAGTGATCCTCCTGTTTTTAGCCTCCCAAGTGCTGGGATTACATTGTGTGATACTTCGCCCAATGTCAGGCCTACAAGGCACACCAGGGATTGAAACCCAGTTGCTGCGCCTGCCTGAGCAGTCGCTTTAATCCACTGAGATATCTGAGTGACCCTTCAACCATTGATAATCAGCTATTCTTGTTCTGAAAATCTGCAACATGTGCATTGTTGTATGTTACCCTATTTCTGTCTTTATTTCTGATGTTTGCTTTTGTTTTTACTCTTCAAAATAAAATAAAATTATAACAAGAAAGATGGCAATGTAAAACAAAAAATGAATGACTTTAAGATATCTGAAGTGATACTTTTGTGAAGTGATACTCATATACATAAGTGCTGTGAAGACTAGGCGTATCTTCCCATAAAGTTTTTCTTAGCAAGTGTAAGTACAGGTAATGTATAATTCTAAGAAATGGCTCTAAAACATTTAGGAATAGATAAAACCCTTAAGTTATTCATCTTCATAACTAACAAACTGCATAACGAAAATGAGTCAAAACTTATTCCACAAAGAACTAGGATTGTTAAGTAGAAGATTTAACGCAAGTCTAAAATGATCTGCTTTGGTAGATAATATGATTGCCATCCATAATAAGTTTCCAGGGAACTGGGAATATTTGATGAGGATGATATAAATGGATCAGATTACATCAGTCAGATAAAAGATTAGAAATTTTTGATGAAGTGTTTCAAATTGTTGATTTCATCAGCCTAAACATTTTGAGTTGACAAACTGTTCTTCAATCACATTTTATTGCTTAGGTAACAAACTTTGCCCTCTATTTCTAAACTAAATAATTCTTGTTTATGAGGGCTCCTAATTATAAGTAGCAAGAAACATTCTAACAGTTTCCAAACCATCTTGTTTTGATTATCAATGAAATACTGAACATCAACCTCCACATAAATAGTTAAGTCAGCTAAACTGAATTTTCTTGCTTGTTTCTACGTCATCTGTTTTGATGTAAAACATCTTGCTGGAAAAATATTTTGTGAGATCAGACATTATATAACTGGGAACATCCTTTTCCTTAAAAAAAGGATAATAGGTGCTTCTGCATGCAGGCACTTTTGCCTGGAGAAGGAGATGCTTTCCTGCAACACAACAAATCAAACAGCAAAGAGGCCACAGAACATAAACCTCACTATCACCTCTTACTGCACGCATCTGTCTTCATTACCTTAGTGCATAGTTAGGGCACAGGTCTTGAAATAATAAAGCAAAAAATCCTTATTTTAGAAAATTTGTAATACTCTTCAAGTGTTTTCAGGCCCAACATATCAAGGCATTTACTCTGTTTTCTTTAGAATGAGAACATTTTCCAAATTCTTCAAGGGGAAAACACTATTTAGAGGTAGAAATACATTGTGGGCATTTTCCACACATTCTTTCTCTCGCATGCGCTCTCTTTCTCTTGTGCTCTTTTAGTGTTGAATGAATAATGTCTAACACTTCAAAGTAGCATAAAGTAATTTACAGTGTTTAGCTCACAGTACAGTAAAGACACAGAGAAAAGCTAACACTAGCCCTTACAAATTTACATACAGATTCAAACTTCAGTATAAAAATTAAGAGAATATCAGTTAATTTTTCACAAATTCAGTTATATTGTAGACCCATTAAAAAGCAAATCTGTATATAACTTGCCAATCAATACTGCTGCTTTCTGGTGTCACTATTCATTTCGTAAGTTTACTACTTTGAAGCAAAAAAATCAATGTATTTTTTATCATTTGTTTGTTTAAAAGAAGCAACTATGAATAGATCAGTTAACAACTTTGCTAGCCAGATGGCCACAATTTTAAGGCAGATTGTGCAGCTGGTATCAATTATTTTTAATTAGGCAGCTTCCCTCAGCCCAAACCCTGTCTACCTCCATAGCAAGCTCTCTGAGTTATCCAAGTATGGTCTCTACTAAGGAAAGATGAATAATGGCTTTGAAGATTCTATATTATTACTTGAATTTCAAAGCCATGAACATTACCATGCTTTCTTGTAAAACCACAAAAACTACGTATGAATGACTGTAATGATCTTTTCAGTTCAATTACAAGTAGCCAGTAACTTGTTTTCCTGGACCACTGGGATGACACACCCAAGGGTAAGGATATATAAATATCCCAGCTCAAGAAGTGACATTCAAATTCAGAACATTGTGCTCTAGAGTCCTTTCTCCTCTCACCATGTCCTACGGCTGCTCCTCTGGAAACTTTTCCTCCCGCTCCTTTGGAGGCTACCTGCAGTACCCAGACGCCTCCTGCGGCTCTTCCAATCCCGGTCACCTCGTGTACACCAGTGATTTCCAGTCTCCAATCAGCTGCCAGCAGGGCTCCTCTCTCTACAGTGGATATCAGGAGACCTTCAGTGAGCCCGCCGGCTTCCAGAGGTCCTGTGTGGTGTCCAGCCCCAGCCAGACATCCTGCTACCGTCCGAAGATCTCCACCTGGGGCAATCCCTGCCAATCAACCTTCTCCGGATCTCTGGGCTTTGGATCCCGGGGCTTCCAGTCTTTTGGTTGTGGCTCTCCATTCCTGGGCTTTGGATCTGCTGGTTTCCAATCAGTGGACTGTGGACCCCGCGCTTTCTCATCCCTAAATTATGGGTCCAACTTCTACCGCCCAACCTACTTCTCTTCTAGAAGCTTCCAGTCCTCTTCTTTCCAACCTACCTGTGGATGTGGCTTCTATTAACCACATATTTTAGGAAACAGAACTTTAGACATAATGCCTTAATGTCTTAAGATTAATATTATCACTTGATCTTCTGTCATTTCAATAGCTAGATTTTGGTCTTCTATCTTTTACTCTCATGGATTAGGAATGATTGGAATTCCAGATACAGGAAAAATATATTTATTGGAAAGATAACAAAAATCTCTCTATTCTCCTTATATAATTATGCAATGATTGAAGCAGACTTTTTCTTAAAGTGCCTTCTTATTACTTTCCACACTGCATTTATCTTAAGTTTTACAGTGAAAAGAATGCTATAAATTTAAATAAAACTATTATCTGGTCTGTATATGTCTTGGGATTGTATTGCACTTTTTTTGTCTTCAAAACTACTTTTAAATATCTGCCTGAGATTTTCTGTATCTTACAATTATCATTAAAAACCTGATGTAAAAAGAATGAAATCATCTTTTTTCATTTGAAAATTTTTATCTTTTTCATTACATCTATGAATATCTTTACATAATAAAATGATGAGTACACATTTTTAAGACAAAAATTGCACTTAAAGCAGCAGTTTTCTGTTACATAATTGCAAACATCCTATAAACTGTGGAAAGAATATAGTTGATAAGAAATATTAAATTGACTGTAGACTTTATTTTTGAAGGAAGATTTCTCTTTTGAAATACATGAAAAATTGGAGCATGAATACTCAGTAAAAAAATTAGATATTAGTGAGTTGTATTTGGTGAAACATACACTTTCCATACCCTTACTGTAGGGTAAAAATTTAAGTCCCTGCATGAAGTTTCTAACAGATTTATTAGCAAACAAATATTTTTCAAATATTTTCAATATAATTGTTATATAAATTTGATGAAGTCTGAATTTTCTCTTCTTTTCATTGTTTAGTTAATAGCAATTTTTTGAAAGACAACAACAATTTTCAAGGGTAATATAAATATTCTTTTGTTACAAGACTCAGCTAAATATCGTGGCAGGGAATAGCATATGAATATTCAGTATGGCTCAGATATTTTGCCATTAGGTACAGGAAAATCTTTTTTTGTTTTTTGAGAAGGAAAATCATGATTGTCATTTTTATTTAAAGTGAGTTATTGCTGGGTGTGGTGGTGCACCCCTATAATCACAAGAGGCAGAGGGCTGAGACAGAAAGATCTTCATGAGCTCAGGGTCAGCCTGAGCTACACAGTGAGATCCTGTCTCAAAAAATAATAAATAAATAAAATGATTTATTATGGGCTATCATATTTCTATCTGTGATGCTTAATTGGTTTTGCCATAATTAAAAACAGATTCAAATTTCCTGAGATAGAAAAAATACTACAATAAGATAAAATAAAAATTTTCTCTTTAGAAATACAGAACTAAAAAAAGAAATACTGGCCTATAAAGCCACAAGTAGTACTGCTTGCCTATAATCCCACCACTTTGAAGGCTGAAGGAGGCAGGGGGATCTGAAGTTTGATTTCCACCTTAGATACCAGGGGAGTTCAATACAAGCCTGAACTACGTGGTAAGACCCTGTCTCAAAAACCAGAAATACAGAGCTATCACATGAGTATAATCTGCTTTTCTTACAAACTAACTTGGGAAGAACAACTGGGGATATTAACACTTACTTTACAATATTTGTTTGTTCTATGTATTTGGTACAAGGTATACATGGTCTCACTATGTAGATTGGACTCATAGTTATTCTCTTGCTTTCAGCCTCCCAAGTGCTGGGATTACATGTGGGTACCACCATTTATAACCAGTTTCAATCTCAGGCTTAGTGTGCACTTGTGGCAGGGCCGGAACAGCAGGCCATGGATCGAACCCCAGCTGCTGCACTCTGCCTAAGCAGGCACTTCAGTCTGCTGAGCTATCTGGCCGGCTCTAACTTTACAATTTTCTGACCTGAAAATTGGTCTCTCACACACCCTTGGAGAATAGAGAGATCCAAAGCCTGCCCTTTCAAGGTTCAAGAGCTACAACTCCCAGGGGTCTATACGCCTGGCCTTGGCTCAGCTCCCCACTCTCAAACCCCTTCTCCCAGCACTGTCATACTTTATACCATTGTTTAAAACTAAAGAAGATACAATTCCTTCCAACTGTCACTTTTCTTCAACAAACAGATCACATGTAAAACAAATTACACTCAAATGGTATTAACAATAAGCTTGTCTTCTGGATGGCTAACAACCTAAGTTTGCAGACCAAAATTAGAGAAAAAGGAGGGCTGCAAGGAAAGCCAACATTTTGGCCCTAACCTTCTAAGTCAATTAAGACTCAGGACATATGTAAACCTGTACTATAATGTCATATAACTTGGTAGTGTCCCCAATTTTCTGATGAAGGAGATTATGAGGCCAAAGAGCAAATTGATCAATGATGTAGAGTGTGCCTAAGGAGAGTCACATGGAGAGAAAACATTCTCTCAGGCTTTCACAGAGTGCACACTGGCCAAGCAATGGCCGTGACTCATCCACATGGTTGACACTGACAAAGGATCTACAATCTGAGGTACAGGATCTCAGGATAAATCCTGAGGGGATTTCACTGACCTTATCAGACCCAAAAGCTACAACTTTTGTTGCATAGGTCCTGCTTTACCTTGGTCTTAACCATCCAGCAGAAAAGTATAAAAACGAAATATAAGAAGTAAAGCCATGCTGTTATGTTGAGCTGTAGGGGACTCAGGTCAACAATTTCTGACATTGCCAGTGAAGCAGTAGACCCAATACTATTATTGGCTACTGGACTCTTTTAGAATATTTTACTGAGTTTACACACCTATAATATTCAAATAATGGAACTTACCCAAAAAAGGGGATACAGATGAATGTGCATTTTGTATCTGTGTATTCAAAGTGGTTAGGATAGATATATAGTTGCATTCTCTTAATGAATAGAGGGATTTGTTCTAATAGTGTTTGTAAATAGGATATCATGTCCGCATCTTGTACAGCAATTAACTACTAGGAAGAGAGTATGGAATGTGCTAATTATTGAAACTGTCCTACCAATTTGATTTGAAACTGTCTTATTGCTATTTGTTTCTCAATAAAATTATGGGAAAAATTACAAAGTAAAGAGCCTGCACTTTTAACAAATCACCTTTGTGGCTGCCCCTTTGGTCTAACGTTGCCAGTAGTGCTGTGGCCATTCAGTTCCACCTCCAAAGGAACACAGCACTGTCCATTGAACTGCCTGTAGGTTGAGGTAACAGAAATTTTAACAAACACTAGTTAGGTGTACATGGAATATGGGCACACAGGTGGTGAAAGTGGTGTGCCTCAAGGAATATGAAGGATGATCCAAATGCTCAAATGCTTTTGCTTTTTACAGTTGTTTAGGCATGTATTTTATTCTTTAAATAATGCATTGTATATTTTACTCTCTGTATACAATATTCCCTTTGTAAAAATGATGATTCTATAAACATTACCATAAACTGTTCATTCGTATTGAGAAATAATTGAGTACTACTACTGAAACAAGTTAACAAGTTGATGGAGAGTACCTAATCCATATAGCAATTCAATGGCATTTATTATGTACAAAAGAGCATATGATACCACTAAATACATGAAAATGACTAATTTCACTGAAGATAAATCAGCATCTACTTCAAAGAAATGTCAAAAATAACTGCTTTCAAAGGTGATTATTTATAATTAGTAGTTGCAAAAAGATGTATTTCTATGTCATTGTGACCCAAGATTTTTCATTTAAGTTAGGAATATTTTTAATTCATTTTTATTCATGTTAACCCCTATGTTTTGTTTTGTGTGTACAGAAAAAAAGGAGGAAATATGATGGTATTCTACTAATAGAGAAAACCTTTTCAATAAGGGTAAAATGAAATTAGTTTAATGTCAGAGGGGCAGGGATATGTCTCAGTGGTATAAATTCCTGCCTGGCAAGAATTGTCAAATGTTTCAAATGTGTTAATTCCAATAATTTGGTTTCTTTGCTTGGTTCAAAGAAACAAATAAAGCCATACAAATTCGAGGATTTTTTGATAGTGCTTTTTTAAAAAGTTTAAGAGAATAAAATTATTTGTTGTTTCAGTAACATTAGCAATCACAGATTTTGTTGAAGGATAACATCATAGTAAAAACAATTGAGTAATAATCAAATTAATAAATATGTTTGCAGTTTTGTTAAATACATGACTCACTACCAATTATCCACATAAGTTTCTATGTTCTACCAATTAATATGAAAGGTATCATTTTAAAAATGTAAAATAAAAGAAATTATATGCTTTTTAAATTGTGATAGCAATCAGTGTTTTTCCTTACCTGAACAATTAGGTCTTTAACTTCCATCTGTTGTGTTATTATTTTTAAACCCTCACTTTCTTGATTTTTAAATCATTATTAGTTTTGTTTGATAAAACAAAGCATATTTACAAATATTTCTTCTGGCATTTTTTAAATTTTGTAGTCTTTCTTAGATCTTTTCTCACACCTCTTCTATTTCCCCACGCAAGATAGTATTTAACCAAAGTTTGCCCCATGATTTTGCCCCGACTGGCCCCACTCTCCTTCAGTCTGACTCATGAAAATGGGCTCTAGTTTACAGCATTCATGTGATAGCATGATAGTCTGATAGCTTCACTATTTTTGTTCATGTTTGTCAATATTTTTGAAAGGCATAATATCTGCCATCTAGAATAATAAATCCAAATAAGCTAAATAATAGTAATAATGATCATTTAAACTAATAATATAAAATTTGTCATTGTACATGTTTTCTTTGTCACTTGGTACAATCAATAATACAAATGTTCATGAAATAAATCATGTGAATTTCCTTGGAGATTTCATCCTAAGCTAAATTTGCTTTTAATTTTATTCTTTATTGGACATATTACACATAAGAAACATATTAGGCTAATGAAATATATAATAATAATAATAATAATAATAATAATAATAATAATCAAGAGAGGCAATTTGCATTGAACCAGAAGTAAAGATTAGCAGTTGTGTATTAAAAAT